GGACAGTGGTGGCTGGAGCTTCCCGACTAAATCAAGCCTGGAAGCAGGAGCGGCATCCACTTCCAAAATGGCTTGCCTCTGGAAACTCTATGTACAAACAGTGCTCAGGCTGTTCGTCCATAGGGTCACTATGAGTCGTCTACAACTCGATGGCATTAAACAACAACAACAACTATTAACCAAAAAGAAATTCTTTTTTAAAAAATCGCATTCTTTCTTTCAGGATACTAATAAAGTCACACCGTGTAGATGTGCAGAAGTATGGCTCCAGAGTGCTACCATAAAGCAACTCCCAGAATTTGTTTGCCAGTGCACATAAAAGTTACGTTTATACTATACTATAGTCTATTAAAGGAGCCCTGGTAGTACAGTGTGTTACATGTTGGGTTGCTAAGCAAAAGATCAGGGTTCAAATCCACCAACTACTCCACAGAAGAAATACAGATAATCTCCTACCATAAATTTACAGCCATGAAGATCCAAAAGAGGGCTACCATGAGTCAGAATTGACTTGACGGTAGTGGATTTGATTTTGGTTTTTTCATCTATTAAATACATAAATGAATTATTAAAACATTTGAAACAGTACAAGAATTACCGAAGTGTGACACAAACACCCAAGTGAGTACAGGTCAGTTCAAAAGAGGGTTGCGACAATCCTTCAATTTGTTAAAAAAAAACAACAACACACAGTACCAGAAAAGTATAAAAATGTAAAACACAATCAAATCAGGTATGTATATGAAGTGGTTAATTTCGTTTAAAATCAGCAGGGGCAGGGGGAAACAGTGGAAGATTGCTACAGAGCACATACCTCAAAACTGACAGGCATATTTCGCTTCAGAGCAATTTCAAACACTAAGCTGATCTCAGATTTATTTGCATCTTTGTCGTCATCCATTTCCTTTCCTGATTCTCCATTCTAAACCACACAGAACAAAGATGACAATGAATTTCACTTTGCAACAAATTACATATATCCTATAATCAGGAAAGACTATCTAAAATACAGTAAGAAGCAGGTCTAATGGATTCCAGTGTAACCATATTCAAGTGATTTATTGCTAAATTTTTTGTTATTTGGACTTTAACTTTTTTACCCCTCAAGCAGAAGCACTCAAACTAAGTTTGGAAATCTCTCCAGTCTGCCAGACACTATTTTAATTTATCCAATTTTCCCAGATACAATCCTCTTAGACATTTTTATTCTTTATTCCCCCAACCCAAATACACACACACACACACACACACACACACACACACACTCTCTCTCTCTCTCTCTCTCTCTCTCTCTCTCTCTCTCTCTCTCCTCCACTGGAGTGATGTTAATTAACCTTCTGTGAAAACTACATTGGAAACAATATAGAGGATGCAAACCAGGATGCTAGAGCTGGCACTTAACACACTCCAAGTATTAAAAATAAAGCAAGAGTATTTCTAGGGAAGTTAATGGCTAATGGAAAAAAACAGATTAAAAATTACCATAAAACTGTGTAAGATGAAAAACACCTAAGTCTGCCAGTAGCTAAGACAAATCTCAAAAAATGAGGAAGAACATCAGGTTTGGGAGAAGGTGAATCACAGAGGCTAAATGAAGAAACCAACAGGAGGTGAACATACAAAACATGAGTGAGCCAGAGACATTGTTTTGAATTCAATAGAGAAAGTTCTTGAAGCTGTGAAAATAAGTGTGATTACTAAAAAATAGCCCCAAGTCCTTCATTTATAAAATAACATTACACTCAAAAACCCATAAAGATCTTCTACACTAAACTCCTTAATTCTAGAGTAATACACTGTAGTCCAGGTTCACTAAACGTAGTGTTCAACATAAAGCAAATGAATGTCACTTCTTATCCTCACATGCATTCCAAAATCTTGGGAAGTGAACAGCACAGGTGGACCAGAGCTCTCAAAGGTCAGACAATCCTGGCCGGAAGGAGTCTAGTCTAGTAGACAGGAAGCCTGAAAGGCAATTGTAAACAGAGCCCCATTCTACTTTGCTTCTCCCTAGAAGAGATTCACTCCTTAATGTGTCAACTGCTTTTGGTTTTCTTCTCCACATTCTCCCCAGGGGATGCTCACAGGAGCCAGGCACGCACAGCGCACCTGAGCGGACTTTTCCGGGATGGGCTCATTCTGCAGGGCTTGCAGCGCCTTCATCGCAGCATTGTGTCGAGCTGCCTGCCGAGTCTTTCCTTCCCCAAAAAACTCATTATTTCCGACAGTCAGCTGAACATAAAAGATCTTAGGCATGGGGCAATGATACCTAAAATAATAAAAAAAAACAGGTAGGTCAATAAAATGATTCTATTTTCTGGAAAACATTTTATTGAAGACTAAAATCATTTTCTAAATAAAAATAATTTGCGAACTATATCATATCATATAATCACCTCTTATCAGCTATAATAAAATTTTAACCTTGAGAAGGTATTTTAAAAAGATAAAATGTATTACAGTTAACAAAGAGTGGACACTGACCTCCAGGAAAATATATTAGAGAAAACCACCATAAACATGAGGCACCAATTAACTGTTAATTAGTTGACCATTATAAATTAAGAAAATGCATCTTAGAAAACTTGCTGAAGAGAAGTTTTCAATTAGATTTTGACAGAACTGACAAAAAAATTAAGGGGCTCATGGATGAGGAAGTTAATACATACTGAAGAAGTGATACAGAAATTAATGTGGCTTCAGCAGAAGGTATTCATGATAAGAAATGAGAAGAGGGAGTTCCTCGATAAAAGGCATTAAAAGATAAGATTCAATACAAGGAAGAGTAAGGCAATTCTTAGGCAGAAGTATAACAGCTAATAAATCAATACAAGTATTTAAGGACAAATTTTAAAGGGACTGAGGTAAGGAGATGTGAACAGAAAGCTGCAATAGTGCAGATATGGGAAGACAAACGAGTGATTTTAAGATGGAAGAACAAACCTATATAAAAAGAAAAAATAAATGGCATGTAATAAAGCATACTACCATACTAGATATTGAGTGTGTTCCATATTGTCACAATAAACAATGACAATAAAAAAAACTTTTTAAATCTCTGCTGCTTTGAAGATAACATTATAGTGGAAAAGACAAAAAAAAAAAAAGCGCCACCAAAACAAGCAAACACACACCAAACCAAAAAACCTAGTAGATAAAATACTTAAGTATGTTAGGGCTGTTGTACATAGGGTCGCTATGAGTCGCAAATGACTTGACGGCACATAACAACAACAACAGCAATGTTAGAGATGCAGATTAAAAAGAAAAAAAAATACAGAGAGTTCAGAAATGTCAAAACGGAGAGGAAGCTGACAGTCTTAGGTCCTGTGGCCAGAAAAGGCATCACTCAGAGAAAAGACGACTGTATAAAGATCTAGAACATGCGGGGGAGAAAAACAAGCAAATACCCAAGAGTGCATGAGGCAGAGAAACCAGAAGACAAATGCCCTCAGGCAAAGAGGGCATCATGTGTGTGCAAGGAACTGAGAGGGAGCCACTGGGGAGACTAAGGGAAGAAGAGAGGGAAAGAAAAAGAGGCAATAAGAAGAGATGACCAAATTCCATAGAGTCTTCTCTAGAAACCATTAAAAGGATCTCTCCCTCTACGGGAAACAGCCAGCCACTGGCAGGCTTTCAGCTAACTAAGCAGTGACATGATCCCACTTGTATTTGTAAGGATCATCTGACTTACAGACTATAGGGAGGCAATGGGGAACACGGGAAAATGACTAAGAAATGATTGCTGGACTTTAGTGATTTAGTAAAATTACCATTCGGGTACCATTAGGATCAGTTCCAACTCACACTGGCCTTAAGTACAACCGAATGAAACACTGTCTCATCCAACACCATTTTCACCATTATTGCTGCATCTGAGCTCATTGTGGCAGCCGCTGTGTTAATCCATCTCCTCTAAGGATCTTCCGCTTTTTCGCTGATACAATGATGATATAATGTCCTTTTCTGCTGATATAATGTCCAAACATAATGTCCTTCCTCCTATCATCAATCTACATAAGATGAAGTCTTGTTAAACTACACTTCTAAGGGCATATTGGCTGTACTTCTTGCAAAACAGACTTGTTTGTTCTCCAGGACATCCACTGTGTATTCAGTGTCCTTCACCAACCCCCTAACTGAAATGTATCAATTCTCCTTTGGTCTTATTTATTCATTTCCAGCTTTCACATGTGTATGAGCAAAACAGGATAAAATTTGAAGGAATGGCGAATTTACGAGTGAAATGAAGTTAAACTAAGACGGTGGGAAATGTGTATTTCCAAGCAAAAAGAGTCCTACTAAAGAATAAATGAAGCCAGTTTAAAAAGTATGCCTGATTCAACCCATTATATTTTTCTATTGCTTACTAAGCATCTGAAAGTCAGATCATGAATAAGGATGGCAGAAGGTGAATTGGTGCCTTAAATTGTGATGTTGGAGAAGAGTCCGGAATATCTCACAGACAGCATAAAGCACAAACAAGTCTGTCTTGGAGGAAGTACAACTAAGGTGTTTCTTTGAAGCAAAGCTGATTAAACCTCATCTCACAAATTCTGGGTATGCTGTCAGGAGGCACCAGTCTTTGGAAAAAGACATCATGCTGGGAAAGGTAGAGACTCAGCTAAAGAGAGGACAGGACGACCCTTATAAGCTGGATGGACACAGTGACTCTGAGCACTTCAAGGACTCAGGGGGGTGCGGGATAGGGCAGGGTTCAGTTCTTTGTTCCTAGGGTGGCTATATGCCTCAACTTGATGGGCCCTAACAACAAGTTTTAAATGGCTGCTGGATATCCAAGTAAACAATTCTCCAATTAATTTGAGAAAAACTGGACAAAACCTATAAAATGAGAACTTAGCAGGCAGATGGGACTAATCAGTAAAGGTTTACTGGAGGTGAAGGACTAGAGAATCAGAGTGGGAGTGAAGAGGCAGATTTGGGAAGCAATAATTGAAACCATCTGAGTGGATAAAGCACCTGGAAAGAGTAAGTGTAGAAGAACCAGAAAAGAGCTGAAGACTGGAATGTGATTGATGCCCATGATCAAGGGCAGGGGAAATAATAGACAGCAGAGAAGGAGATGAAAGAGGCCTTGGAACTTGGGAAGAAATTACAACACAATGTCAGAGAATGGGATCATCAACAGTGTCAGAGTATAGAAAGCAAGGGTATGACAAAAAGAAAAAAGTCACTCTTGTAAGTTCTTACCCTAAACTCAATTTTCTTGGCCCATAGTTTCTATCATTTTGCTTTAAGAGAAAATGTTACAAATGCATTTTTATTATTTAAGTCACATGCCCTCATTTTTCAATTAGAAAGTGCAGAGATGTTAAAGGATTAAAATAAAATCACTCATAGTAAGACTTTAAAATGCAAAGACTAAAACCACATTTAAAAAATCATAATTATTTTTTCTTTTTGGTTACAACAACTAAAAAGAAACTAAAGTCCACAATTTTTATTATCTAGTTTATCTAAGATCCCTTGAGAACAAGAATTTAACCAAGGAATATGAATAATATAGATTAACTTCATTTTATGTCTCACAAAATTGCATTTTCTCACTTCCATGGAATTTGATGCATATTTTAAACTAGCTCCATTATAAAACTTGCAAACAGACAACCTGCAATCAGAAATATACTCCTGCTCTGAGATCTTACAGAGCAAGCGTTCACCAAGAAAGCAAATGTTTACAATTAATTAAAAACTTCTGAAAACAGAGGTGCACAATTGGAATGCTAACAGACCCTTAACTACAGCGAAGGGAGTGGGCGCCACTGTAATCGCTCAGGCCTGCTGACAATTACAAAACTCATTTTGGTTTGCCACAGAGACAAACAAAATTTCTGTTCATTATAATTTTACTGGAATATGATGTCATAACACAAAGCCATACTGAAACAATCTGCTGATTTTCTGACCAAAATATTAATTGCACACTAAAGAGCCCTTGGGGCCTCTTCCTCTCTGGTCATCAAGTATAGCTTTGTGTACGTGCGTGCATGTGCATATACATGTATATATAAATTATAATATATAAATATTAGAGAAAAATAGTTGTGCTGTATTTTAATATAAAAAGTGAAATATTCCAGCACTAACAACAGGAAATACTGAGACCTGACGCCTGACTTGTTTCATTCCAGTCTCACTCCATCCTTTTACTTAAAACCAGTTTCTAATAATACAATCCATATTTGAATACCTTATAGATTCTATCTCCTCATACCACCATGACAATTAATATTAGCCAGAACACTCTCGTTAATGGCACCCTGATTGAATTAGAGGAGAGAGGAGTGGAATTTTTTTTGTGTTAGGTCCTGGTCTCTTAATTATTTTGGTTAAAAAAAAATAGCAGTCAAAGTTTCTTAAGTTTAAAAGTTGCTATTTTCTCAACAGAATCCATTTTCTGTTTTTATTTCTAACAATAAAATTCTTTTAGGTAAGGAACTTAAAAGTGTTATGTCTGCTGTTGTTGCTGTCAAATGCCATCAAGTCATAGACGACTCATAGCGACCCTATGAATGAAAGACTTGAACACTTGTATAACTTTCTTTGTTTCTCTAAGTTCATAGACTTTCTGGAGGCAAGCTATTTCAGAAATGGATGCCACTCCTGCTTCCAAGCCTGTTTTAATCTGGGAGCTCCACCAAACACTGTCCACCATAGGTAACTATTATCATATTTGACACATCAGTGTCACTGTGTTTAACATCACAACAACCACAAGTTACCTCTGTACAGCAAATAAACAGACCAGTGCTATACCACTTAAAATGTTTTTGGGGTTTTTTGGGGGTTTGTTTTCTTTTCTTTTAGAGAGAGAGAGAGAGAGAGAGAGAGAGAGAGAGAGAGAGAGAGAGTGTGTGTGTGTGTGTGTGAGCGCGCACGCGCACAAATCGGATCTGATTGGTACAAGAGGAGATTGTTCCTCCTTCTGTAGCAGAGCATCTGGTGGATTCAAACCACACACCTCTGGGACTGCTGTGCAGCTTCTTGACACTAGGCCACCAAAGCTCCCTTACAACTTAGAACAATGTTTAACCAAAAACAATTAAAGCCAGGCCTGAGAGCTGCAGAGTAACACCATGATAGAGAAAAGACTGAAATTGTTATTTATTTCATCTTATATGGATCCACAATCAACACCCTTCCACAATCAGTACCCACAGTCAAGAAATAAAAGGAAGTGCTGTGTTATATGTATTTATAAAAATTGTTGTTGTTATGGGCCATCAAGTCAACTCCAACTCATAGTGA